TTACTTGGGCCTGAGAAACCAACCTCTACCTTAGAGCAAAGCCTGTCCAAGGAAGGGGGCATGACCCTTGTCCTTGGAAAGACCCACAGAGCACTCCTAGGCACATACCCACCCTGCTGAACTGTTTATCTACAAATAACAGTAGAGATCTGCGGAGCCAGGTGTCCCTCACTCAGTCAGACTAGGTAAGGACCCATAGCAACCCCCTAGCAACCACCAATCAGCATGAGACAGGGAAAATAACCGGGATGCCAAATGACTCTTCCAGTAGTTTATGGTGGTTGATAACAAGTTGGGAAACCATGTAGTTTAGCACATACTCCCCTAGTGGCTTTAACCAATCAGTTCAGAAGAATCCCCCTCTTATACTAACCAATCACCCTTACCCAACTTGTTCCYGCAAGTGAATGTGCTATTCATGTTTTAGAGTTGTTTTATGATTTTCCCTCAGTGTGTGATGATTTGCTAAGAGATGCTATGATGTATGTGAAGTCCCTGCCTTCCCCAAAGAGTATATAAAACTGCTGCAAACCCTGGCCTTAGGGCCTCTCAGCATCATGTCACCAGTTGCTGTGTGTGCACAAAGGACTGAGCTAGCTCTCAATGAACACCTCTTTGCTGCTTACATTGATCTTGGTCTCTGGTGGTCTTTGGGGGGTCCGGAATTCGAGCATAACAGTGCCCTTTCTTTCAGTATTATTATAACAATTTTATATTCATGGTCAAAGGCACTCTTGTCTCAAGTCCAGTGTGAGGGTTTTAATTTAATGGAAAGCTGAGGGCTACATCTTAGAACCAGATTCATGTTGAGCACCACTCTTGACTATAGTCACAACCTTCATTGGACCCAGATACTACATAGTTTACTATTGAAGCAATGTCATATTSAAAAATGTAGTTCAACAGACAAATGTAACTATGAAGAAATTTTATTCTTTACCTGTATCTTTTGAAAAATATTGAAGTTCATCCAAATGTGTATGTTACAAACTGAATTGTTAAAATAGTGTTTGTTTGGTTACTCTCATCACTCTTTGGTGGGGTTCAGTCCCTGCTATTCTGAAAGATGGCATGTTAGTAATTGAGAAAACAGCAGAAACAAACAGGCAGGTGACTTAGTCACCTTCTTTAACCCTTTTCCCTTAGAGCAGGCCAAACATAAATTCTCTGAGTTTGTTCTGACAAAGGTCCTAAGGCTTGTTTTCTTTCTTTCTTTTTGTTTCTATTGGTTCTATTTAGTTATACTTGTCAGTAGAATTCATTTTGACATAATCATAAAAACAAGGAATATATCTTGTTCTAATCAGGTCCTAAGGCTTTCATGTCAGAGGTGCCCACACTGCACCGGGAAGAAAGGAACACCTGTATCTCTGAAAATACAGAGACATCTACAATCAGGCAAACAGGCTTGCTAAATCACCCCTACCTGTTTATGACCCCTGGATCTCACCCCTTTTGCCCAGACTTCTCTACAACCACCCACTTCTTCATTAAATTTAGCATAAAAATACACATTTCCTTGTTTCGTTGGGGTTTCATTTCTGAAGCCTCTTGTGTCATGTAAAACTTGAAAATAAATATATTTGTTTGTTCTTCTTCTCCTAATGTCTTGTTTTATTATTTTTATTTTTTATAGATGTCTCAGGCATGAACCTAGCCTTAGACAAGAGAGGTCCTTGCTCTCCTGTCTGCTCATACCCACAGTGGCCATGTACTTCTCTCCTCCAACACCCTATACAAATTTCATCTTCATTTCTAGGCTATACCTTCATTTATTTTTTTCTTATTTACTCTCCTCTTCTCCATTACTTTATTATATGCTAAATTTGGACTATATAAAATAAACCTTTAGAAAGCTTGTAGGAGGAAGGGAAAGGAGATGAAATGTGGTTATCACTGATGGGGTAAGACATTAGTCTCATCACTCTACTCATAATGGTGTCATAACTATCAAAAATATTAGTACTTACTTGAAACAACATGGAGGAAAAACACTTTCATAGTCTACAACTGAGGAAGTATTAAAATGTTTCAAGGGTTTGACCTTTTTTAATCCTTCCAAAGCCCTGCAGGCTGTGAATCATTATTCACATTTTGGTGGTGAGAAAACAAAGGTCCAAAGAAGCATCACACAATTTGTAGCTGGTGAAGTCAAAATTTGATTTCAGGGAGAATGATGCTAGTATCAAGCTCTTAACCATGAAAAAGACAGAAACAATAGTTTTGTTGCTGGTTGGACTATCTTTATGCCACCTTCCAACAACAATGATTTCATAGAAAGTATTTCTGAAAAATTTTCAAGGAGCCATTGTAAGGAAATATTGCAAACACTTTGAAAAGAGGAAGAAAATCTCAATAACTACCTCCAGAAAAAATAGCCCGAATTAATGAGTCAACATCAACATCTGAAAATTTAAGAAAATATACAAACAAGTTTCACTAAACAAACAAACAAACCCTTCTTGACCAAATTGGATTAGAGCCTGGGTCAAGACAGAATAACAGCCCAAAGAAAAATTGTACTCACTATCTAAACTGGAATGAACTAAAAGCAAAGAAGACATTTAGAAAGATAATAATGATCATTCTATAACATAACAAAGGAAATACAAGGTTAAGAAAAGTCAAGTTAAAAATATGGTTAAATGAATGTTATTATTTCAATGCAGTCTTTTGGGAAGTGAGGCAAATCTCCTTCCATTGGCAAACCTATTAAAGTCAAGCTGAGAGTTAGGTCAGATGATCAGTGCATTCTGATATTTTTAAACTGAAGTTCGGCAGACAAGTGATAAACAGGCAGGGTGTGTATGTCACCTTGCACAATTAGAAAAAGGTAGGAGAAGTTTTAGTGCTGGGACATTTCCCCTTTGGTAGTTATTGTGGGTGTATTCTATCCAAACTGACCGCATTACTCTGAAGCAAGCCCAAGTTAAAGGAAAGCTAAACAAAACAAAACAAAACAAAACAAAAACTGTTACTTTCCTAGATAGCATCACATTAATCTTAGCCAAATTTCCATCAAGAAAATAGTAGAATATAGCTGAAAGTATTCTATTGCACACAGACCTATATTTTAAAAGAGCAGAGCTTATGCTTCTCTGATATCTACACTTCGTGATTGAAAAACTGTGCTAGAGAGATATAGCAAACAAAAAATTCCAAAGAACCTATTGTGATAAATGATACATGACAAAATTACATTTAAACAGTTACTAGGCCCAAAGGAATCCAGTGGAGAATAAGTGCAAACAATGTGGGGGTTTTCTACTCCTAATTTCGTTGACAAAAATGACAAAATATAGTTATTTCACATAAAGACAGGGAGAAATAGGAAACCTGAAAACATAAAATATGTTGCTCATAGAGAGAGATGACGTTCACATATATTTCAGATTGGCAGTTTTATTTGGAAGGGATCTCTAGATCTTTGCTTTCAAAAACCAGAACTGTTAAGAGTAGTACTATAAAGAGGAGAAGCACAGTAGCTTTACCTCTTAACATTTTGGACAGGCAAAACTGTCTAAAGACTAATTTGAAATTCAGTTAGTACATCCTGGGAAAAACATGCAAGCAAATATATCTCTAAATGGGATGCCAAAAGAATGTTGTTAACACATTTGTAAATTTCCAATTCTTTCTTACTACCCTTATCCAACCACCCAAACAAATCAGTTTAAATACAACTTCTTTTACTAATGTCTTTTGAAGCATCGCTGCAGTCAAGTAACCATCTGCCACAAATACAAATAGAGCTACATTCAAGAATTATATTATACAGCCTCCCTAGCAAAGTTCTCAACGTGCAAGCTGTTCTTGTCAAAATCAGAACCATTGTGATGATGCATCTTAATATTCAATCAGACTTTAAGTAAAGAGTGACAAAAGTCCACATATGGATGACAGCTGTTTCTTCAGTAAATATTTTCCCATTTATTGAATGGAGGCTTATGGCAGTTTACGATATGTTCCATCAGACATTTCAGCCTGAACTGCCTGAGGACWTTTAAAACAATAACAAGAATAAAAAGTTCAGTTTTTTAAAAAATCTTTGCTATAATTTACATCTTCAAAAATAACGATTCCTCCAATTAGAGTGGCAGACAATGTCATTTGCTGGACGGAATCCCTGTCTAATTCTGACTGACGGAAAAACGGAAGTTAATGGACTCCAAACCTTTTTGTTCCTCACCTCTAAATATAACAGTATGTCTGTAAAATAAAGGCATAATTTCTCTATTGATTTGACTTTCTASCATTCTACCATTAAGAACAAAGTTGATGGGAAGTTAAACACTTTAGGACTGTATTTTGATGAATAGTGAAATATTAAAAAGGATTAATGAGTCTATTATCTAATAGAAGGTCATAGAGTATAAGGCCTTCTTTTTAACCAATAAACTAATTTGAAAATTAAAAAAAAAAAACTTTAAGTAAAATGAAGATGGATTCTGATGCATAATAACTGCATAATAATATTGGGTGTACATATSCATCATTATAGAAAAAAAAGTTATACTATGAAATAAAAATATCCTTATTGCTTCAGTAATACAGGCGAAAGTATATTGTGCTCCTTTTATAAATGCTAAATGTCATGCTGAACCTAAGTGTGTTAACAGTACACCTTTCGAATAGCATTTGTGAAACTTGCTAACTACAAGGTCCTTTGCTAAGTCTCAACATGGCTCATCTCTTTAACCTAAAACTATCCTGAGGCTCCTGTCTGGTGATAAAGCAATTCATAGGAGGTTAGAAGGTTGTGTGTGTCTTAGGTTAGGCCTGTAATATTGATCTGCGAAGAAAACGGTATTCCCAGCTTCTGAATTGTGACTTATAGCTTTCTTTTCCTTCCTGCAATACAGATGTGAAAAATCAACAATTTTCTTTTAAAATTTTGCGCCTGTAGTCTTATCATTCTCCACAACTCTTGTGAGACTTTGATCATTTTTTTCTCAGGGGAAACTTTCACAGACCAAACATGATAAAGAAGAATTTCTTACCCTGCTATTGGATCTACTGCTATTGCCTTAGGATTATGAAGCTCCAGATCAATCAGGGTGACACACACAGACCCATTATAATTACAAACAAAGATCCGGTCACTGACATGGTCCACAAAATAGAGATTTCTGGTGAGCCAATCAATCGCCATTTGTTCCACATCTGAAAAACATATACATAAAAACATTGAATCATAGGAGCATATCTAGCATCATAAGCCCAAGAGTACATATGTCTGCCATCACAGAGGACATTTCAAAAGTACAGGAACTTTTATGGTAAGAAATTACAAAGAAAATCTCTTGCTATGCCAAAATGAGTGACTTGATTATATAAAATAATGATTGCTTCTTCATAACTTCTCATTATCTAAACATTGGAGATAGGCCACTCAAATGGAAAAAGGAATTTCTGAATACAGGTTTTTAAAATATAAACTTTACTTTTTGCATTTGTCCAACTAGTATATTTAATCTAATGAACACAACAGGTTCAATGGTTTATTTGTGAAATAAAATCTATAGTGATACGAGAAGTAAATAATTTTTATGAACTTAAGGCAAATCCTAGTTTTCAGATCCATATTTCTTAAAAACATAAAAAGAAACACATGGAGAATGTGAGAAGACAAAGCTATAAAATATTTATTTACAAAAAGTATGAAAAACTTGTAAATAAAGAAAAAGAAGGAGTGACAGTTTCTTCAAATGATATACTTATTTATGCACTGTGAAAAAGACCTGGTCAAGGATGACTTCTCTGGAAGAGATGAATGGAATATCCCATATCCACACTGTTTAATGAAGTAGGTGCTATCACACATGTCTATTGAGCATTTAACATGTGGCTACTATGACTGAGAAATGGAATCTTTAATGTATTATAYTTTTTTTAATTTCAATTTCAATTTAAATTCAAATTGAAATTAAAATTAATAAAAAATATAGCACAGCTCTCAAATAATGTACCTGTTTGATTTGAGCATTGTTTACTTGATCAAACTTATACGCTGTGAAAGTACATGTTAATTTGTTGATAGTTAACTGGTAAAAAAAAAAAAAAAAAAAAAAGAAGAACCCAAAAGAATATGATTTTATTACCTCATGAGACATTAAGCAATTTTTATCTAACTTATAAATTTCATATAAACATTATTCTTTAAACTGCTATTGATATCCAATTTCAGTAATGCTATTAGACCAGCAATACTGGTCTGGTTCCTTCAATAATGCCATATATCCATTTCTGGCCCATGTTCATTATTTTTTATGAATGCCATGCTTTTGATTTTTAAAAATTGTAGTAGTCCCTCCCTATTCATAAGATATATATTTGGGAACACTTAGTAGATGACAGAAACTATTAGTAGTACCAAAACTCTAGGCACACTGTATTTTTCCCATATATACACACTTATAATAAATTTTATTTATAAATTAAGCATAGCAATGTGATGGACATCATTATTCTAAGTACATATATGAAGACATGAATGATGTGACTCTACTTTGTGTATAACCAGAGACTTGAAAAATTGTGCTCTAGATGTGTAATATGAATTGAAAGGCACTCTTCTGTCATATAACAAATTAGAATAAATAAAAAATAAATTAAGCATAGTAAGAAAAGCAATAATAAAATATAGCAATTATAATAAAATATTGCAATGAAATTTTATATTGCATTTATGTAAATGTGTTATCATGGTCTCTTTCCTCCTTTCTCTCTCTATCTTTTCTACTCTGATGACCACAACTAACCATAAGTAGTGGAAACCATAGAAATCAAAACTGAGGATAAGGAGAAGCTTCTATATACTTTTGATAGGCAATAGACATGAGTGGAAGGAACATGAAGCCAAGGGAATAATTCGATTGACTAAACCTATGCTAGCTCTCTACACGTTTTTTTTGTTTGTTTGTATGTTTGTTTCATTTTGTTTTTTTAAGCAATTTACCCAAGACAATTCTGGCCTTTCTCAAGCTTAAATGAATAGAATATATTACAACTTATGATAAGCAACTTGGGTTATTGGGGTTAAGGAATACATGTGCAAAGTCTCTCTATATAGAATGAAACACAAATTACCCTGACTTAGGACCAGCCAGGATAAAAAGGGCCATCTGTGACCTTTACATAGACCAACGATTCTAAATCTCAGGGAAACAAAACAATTAAAAGCAAAGCCTACAAACTACAAAATCTGTAAGAACAAGTTCCAATTAGAACTACCAGTATACATGGATCTTTAGATCTTTAACAGATTATTTTACTCTTCCTGTAATTGTAAATTTTCTCCACACTCTGCCTCCACCATGGGTGTTTCTTGGGTACTTATGGAGAGAAACCTGAGCAGTAGGGATTTAGGTATCTAATATTATCCAGCGGTCATTCAAGGAGGTGGTGCTTGGACAGGATTCTTCAAAGACTTTTCATGAAACCTCAGTAGAAGCTGGGATACAAAGAAGAAGGTTGTCAATCACCTCTTTGAGACAACACACTCTCCTTTTTGAAAATGTTTCCTCTTTCCTTCCTAATATACACTTTGTTATACATTTACTATGTCTTTTGTCTTGCTTGAAATCTCATGTGAGAACACAAGAGTAGAGAGACAAGTGTAATCCCTGCTAACACTTTGATATTTCCTTGCTTGGATTCTGTATAGACCTTAATTGACTAAAGAGAATGACAGAATTCATAACAGCCTTTTCTAACATTGGGCACATTGGAATACTGAATATTTTAAGCTGAATGAAGCTGAGAAACAGCAAGTATAAGAAAGGCTCTCTGATCTCCCTTCTGCCCGCTGAAGCAGGTCATAAAAACCTCATGTGAGAGATAGCATCCCTACTCCCAATGGAGAGCAACACCCTTAATCCCAAAGTCAAAAGGACACTGAGAAGAATTCGACTAAGCMGACCTTGCTAAATTTATCCCAGTTGATTATCCTTACCTCACACCCATGTCCCACCATGTTTTTCTGTGACTTTTTATGCTTCATCGAACCTAGTATAAATATACTCACATCTAGTCATTTTAGCAGGTTTTCATTTCTTACAAAGACTCCCCTATCACATAAAGCTTACACTACATAAACATGTTTCTCTATCCTTTTTAGTCAAATTTGCATGATACCAGCTGGAGAAACAAAGATGGGTACAGAATTCCCGCCCCCCCCTGCCCTCTGGAAGAGTGAACTTCTTTAATCTGAATCTAAACATTTTTCCTACTCTCAGCCTCAAAATATTTCCTCAGTAACATGCTGCTTCAGTGAACAATGATCTCTCAACAGAGAGACAAACATAATCATATATGCCAGCATTACCATTCATAATGGTATACTGTCAAAACAAGGTAGAGAAAGTGGCAACTTTGTGGGACTTTCTGTCATGTCCTATAAGGATAAGCAGAAAGCAAATATTGCAATTCATTGGATACAGATTTTTTAGGTCATCTATTATACTTTCATTCCTGAATTATGTAGCTTTTTATGAAAACATAAATATTTAAATGTTACCCAAACTGCAAGGAGATTTTTATCAGCCAACTCAGCAATCAGGATTTTTAAAAGTCTGAATTATTTGTCTCCTCAAAAGTTGGAAAAGCATGCTTTGTTTTGCTTGTGAATCTTTTTACATTATTATATCAGCAAGGGCTCAGAACTCACTGCTTTAAATGCCATTTCAAAACCTTGGGTTTAGGTCAAGTATGTGCCATTGTACATTCAAGGCCCCATCCCTCATGCTGAGCCTGCAGTTGCTTTAGTCTGAGCAATTGTAATTTCAGACAAAAGAGCTGTTTGACAGCATTCCTACCTTCTTTCAATTCTTTATCATTTCAGAAAGATTCTCTGCTACTAAAACAATAGGTATCCTTAACAGCAGTCCACATTTGAAGCAGTGAGAGCAGTGAGGTCTCACTGAAGAGATTAATTAGTCAAACACTTAGTAAATCGTGGGGAATTGGTTTTGTTTCTTTTTCTTACAGTTGAAGTTTCTGTCTTTAATGTAATTTGTATTAAGATTGGAAAGATTAGGCAATTAGACATAGAGTTCAAGCAAGCAAGCCAAGAAAATAAACAGATACAGATAATGTTGGTGCTCAGAAAATGATACTTCAAAATCTGGTGTACTGTGAACCAAGGAGATTAGAAGGCATCAGAAGCAAAATCTCTTCACATTTCTCCTGCCCTCTTTATTCTTTTTCCCTCTTTCCAAAAATGAACCATAGAAACTACAATTTCTCTTTTCCAAGGAGGAGCAGAGAAACCAGAAATTCTTTTCCCCAAAGTAAGACATAATACCTAGATTAAATATTCTAAACTTCTCCCAGTTTTTGCTGGAGGATCTGGTCATAAAGAAATTTTCTTACCCATATTACTGTCAATAGGTGGTAAGACCTTTATTCCAGAGTAGTCCTGGCTCTACATGAAGGAGTAAGCCTTGCTGGATTCTCTCCTCAAACTATTACCATTGTATCATGCCCTTTTTGTCCAATCACTTTCCTACATGGAGGGTCCACTCCTCATGAATAAATGAAGTATATACATATACAGTTTTCTCATGGAAAATTTTGATTAAATAAAATTACTTTGCTTTCCTCTTATTAACTTGTCTTTTACTATTAAAAAACACTATGACTCTTGTGATGGTTGATGATATATATTATCCCTCCTTGATCCCTCCAACAGAAACATAGGCAGGCAGGTAGGTAGATATAAGTGGATATAGATAGATAGATAGATTTGGACAAATTTAACAATAATTGAAACAGACTGAATCTGTCCCCTCCCCTCTTGAATTAACAGCAACTTCTGCTGAGAGAAGAAAGCTAAAGGGCTTTAGCTTTCTACCCACTACCTTAACAGGCACTAAAAAAGATGGAGCGAAGATGGCCCCTGTCCTGGCCTAACACAGGCTAACTAAATCTGTATATGTCCATTTCCCAACTTTTGTTTTACTAACCTGCAGCTGCTGCTTCTTCCTATAAAATTTTGCTCAATTTCAGGAATTTCAGAGATGGAACTTTTGAAACAAATTTCTTCCAACTTCCTTTAAAGCTGTCTTTATATAAAACCTATTTTTCTATCAATTTGACTATTTCTGGAGTAGGGAGCTTATGATCTAGGCTCTTCCCTCCAAGGTGGTTTTAGAGCTGCTTCT